TGGATTGCAGTTTATTTGTTTGTGTCCTTCCCGTAATCCTGAAGACAACTTTCAGAGCAGAGGATTCACCGAATATGGCAACTAGTTACATTATGCAAAACTACACTGCTGCGTTGTATCATCAGAGCTTTATGAAATTTAACTCGCCAAGACATGGTTGAAAAGAAGAACCAAGACAAATGGCGTTCAAAGAAGACAAATCTCTCAACGCTGTCAATGTCTGAGGTGCTTTGGCCATCCATCCTCGATCTCTCCTTCATTCGCTATCTGTCTGGCCCTATCCCACCTGTATGACACCCGATCACTCTTCATCCCTCTGTACATCCATTACCCCTGTCACTTCATCCTTCCATTTCTCTGCCCCAAGGCCTGAGCTTCCCTCGCCTGTCACAGATGATACTATCAGTGTGGATTACTTGGGATATCATGAGGAATATATGGTCAAATATCCCCTTGCAGAGGTCATAATATGTTAAATAATGACATTGCTATTTATAGGTAGTGTTGTTTTGTCTAGATTTTATAAAGTGACTTAAAAATTCTGAGTACTGACTTACTATAAAAAACAGTGAGTGAGTGAGTGAGTGAGTGATATTTACACTTTTAATAAGCTATTCATAATAAATATTAATTATTACCAAATCATTGAGAGCTGCTCAGATACTCAACAGGTCTTTTTTTACAGAAGATAAATAGTCATATTTTCCATTATATAAATATTACTCATACTTTAATAGCTGCATATGCAACCTGATATTTAAAATGCAATAGTACAGCTGTCATTGTTTTTTTTAATTTTGTGACTGCGTATGCAATCGCAGTAAAATGTGTTTGGGTAATCATGCGCTATCATTTAGTTTTAAGCTCTTGGTCAAGTGTTTGTGCGTCTGTCTGTGTTTGTGGACAGACTTTTTCCAAACACTAGCATCAGGGAAGGATCAGCCTGTTGTGTGTGCTTATGCACCATGCAGCAGCTCAGAGCAGTCAGACTTCCCACAGTCTCGGGTGGCCTCCTGAAAGGAATTCCATCTGGGGCACCAGATTTCAGCTGTAGCGATAGGGCGAGGAGCTTCGACATCCAAAACAAGTAGGCAGTAGAGCTGCTGGTACTTTGAGTCAAACACAGCCAGCTGAGCAAAGCTCAGGTGGTTCAGGAATCTGATTAGGATGCTTCTTGGGTCTTTTCGTTCTAAGGCTTTCCTGGCATGTCCAGCTGGGAGAACACCCCAGGGTACGCTCAGAACTTACTGGAGGGATTGCACTGCTCCTCTGACCTAGGAATGCCTCAGGATCCCCCAGGAGGAACCTGGAAACATAGCTGTAATACCCTGCTTTGAATTAAGGAAAAGAGATAGATAGATGGATGGATGTGTAGCAGAAATTCTTCCCCTAGGGTGAGACTATCAATGAAGACTTTAAAATTCAGTGCAAATAACCTGAACCATGAAGCGTGCCATAGTGCACAGCACACAGTTAATTGAAAATGCATATATTTAGCTCGAGTCATAGACTTGGTTCTCGCCGACTTTGTCCTCCTCCCCAAAATGAAATTGAAGTTGAATGTGTGTGATTTCAATACAGTGGAGAAAACCTACTGATGAAAGTGAAAGTGGTCATGAGAGAATTTAGGAGCAGTCAAACAAAGGCAACCACACTGGAAACTGTAGCGCTACTCAAGGAGATAATGTAGGAGGAAGACTGACCAAATTTGAATAAGGCATTGTTTTAATAAAAGTCAGTTGAACCTCCTATTTTAAACTGCTGCCATGTGTGTATAAAGTCAAAGGCACTGATAAACAAATAGCTGAGGTTTGAATTCTAGGCCCTTAAACTGAAAAGCCCAACAAGGTCTGACCCTCTACTCGACACTTTACTTTGCTATCTCCTCACTGCTATCCATCCTCCTTCCCCTCCTTCAGGCCAGTGCAGACCAGCAGGCATCAATCTCAGCCTTGATCTTCCTTCTCTTTATTGATGGTGGGGTGACACAGATGCAGAGCTTGTTACAGGCTTTCACAGCACTGACCTGCCACGCCTTGCTCTCCTTTCTCCTATAAAAGGAGTGAATGATGGGGAAGCGAAGGAAGGGGGGGGCGACAGACTTATACAGCATGCATAACAACTGAGTACACCTCTCCACATGCATCATGCCATCCATCGCCCCCTGACTGTCTCATCTGAGGCCAATGGAGGTGCACACACACAAACACACACACATTTACAAAGACACCGAAGGTTGGCTGCAAGCTGCTACCCAAGCTGACTATCAAAGCTAAAAAGAAATCACACCCCGGCGCCTCAAACTCCAGCTCACATGAAGAAGGTCACACTGACAGGCTCGACTCCAGCTAACAAAGGCTTTTCCTATCTCAGGGACATTCCCCAAAAAAGCAAAGTGCTGACATGCACGCCCACTCAGAGAGAACCATATGTCTGCCATGTTCGCACACTCTCAGTCCGACACACATGCGCGCACACACACCGTGACCTTTGCAGCAAAATTCTCAAACTCTGAAATATTGGCTAGACAGCTTATTCTGAGGGTTATCAAGCAATATAAAGTGTAAACCATCAAGTCTTGCTCTCCACTTTTGGCATGCAGTTTAATTCTATAGTGCTTATCCCACTGCACCACAGTGGGATAAACACATACTGCCAGGTCTGAGGTTTAAGGTGGCATTCAAACAAAAGGCATGTTCTCCAAGGAATATAAATGGGCTGGTTAAAAAGCATAGATTGATATTACTCATATCAGAAATTTTATAGGAACATTTATTTTATTTCTCAGACTTCAGAACCTTGAATCTTAGAGTTTTGCAGACTCTTGTTATCAGCATTTCCTTAAAAACAGAAATTTCAGATATTATTCCTGGAATTTGCTGGTGCCATTAATTGAGTTTTTCGGTCACTAATCCCATTGCCCCCGGGAACACTGGACGTTACCTTACACATCTGTTCGAGCTCTTCGTTCAGCATCTGGTGATTCTTCATCTCCTTCCTTCCTTTCGGATGTTACTATCACCTGGGATTGCCACATCTATCACAACTGCCCTCTTCTGCTCCGAGTTACCACCACTATATCCGGTTGGTTAGCCAGCAGCTGTTTGTCAGTCTGGATGCTGCAGTCCCAGAGGATCTTAGCGCCGTTTCTCTCAGCACCTTTAGGAGGTGTTCCTCATGACGACTTCAGATCCATGGGCAGTACAGATGTTTGTGAACACTAGCCAACTATTTTAGTCCCAAAAATATATCTGCATTTGCAAATATTGTGAATATATTAATATAAAGAACATATCCTTTTTTGCCTTAACAAAAACTTTTAAAAATCTCCAGCTTGAGAAATCACACAAAGCACAAAGTGACTGGTTAAATACAATATGCAAATTCAGAAAAAGAAAAAACAAACACCAATGAATTGAGTCTATGTTAACTGAAAAGGGCACCTAAATGACCCAGTTGTATAAATTACTTTGTGGAAGTAGGGCTGTGCGATATGACCAAAATCTCATCCCGATATAAGACATTTATCGTCCTGACAACGATATAAATACAAAAATGTAATATTTTCTGTAAATTCTGAGAATCTCGGGCAACTCGATTTGCGTGAAGTTTTTCCAGCTGGGCGTCCTTTACCTGGAGTTGAGTGTTTTAACCACCTGACGGCTCTTTTTTGCTTCTCTTCCGTAAACTCTCTGCATACTCTTTCACGTGATTCAGTTTATTTTGAAAAGTCTCAACAGGATCTTGAGCTTTATTGTGAAAGGTTTACGTGAAAAACAAATGAGCGGCAGCGGAGCCATGGTTTTACGTCATTGTTGCTAACGCCAACACGTAAAAACCGGCGCTTGTCCGTCTGTAGTGTAGTTATATTAAATATAAGAGAAAGAGAGAACTTTAAGAAATTAATATAGCCACTACAGTGTCCATCGAAACGATGAAAAAAAATAATGCCGTAAACAGTTTATTTTGCGACACCACGAAACAAACGATAGCGTAATAGGAAACGATAGATGTTTTTATATCGTCATCCGATATACATCGTCATATTGAACATGTGGAAGTGCTTTTACACACACAGAGATGACTTTGTTCACTAGTTAAGATCATAATTTTATGCATGTATTTGTCCAGCTCTTCTTCTCAATGCTGGTTTGCACAGCTGATGTGTAATAAAAAACCTGCTAATATAAAACTGTCCAGTTTGAAATTATTGCTAAATAAATATTTTCTTTAGAGAATGACTCACAACACAATAAGAACCACCGAAGGTTCATGCGTGGATGCTCTCCTTACAACTCTCTTCTCATTTTTCTACTCGCACAAACACTACACTCAAATAAAGGCGTAAAATTTGTTCACCGTGACTCATAAAACTGTTACATAAACTTGCATCATAACTTGATATCTGATGTATGTAGTTGAATCAGTTCTACTCCCATGTGCCCAAACATTAAGCCCCTGTATACTGTCTGTATCACAAATAATGGCCATTTGTGTGTTTGATGAGCGCCAGCACAATGCCAGATTATCCCCAAAGACCGGCGGCCACGGCTGACTGTTTGATGAGGAGTGATTTAAAGGGCTCAGGGAAGAGCTTCCCTAAAGCTCCGAGGGCCTCTACTTTGGTCAACACAAAGAAATCCCTGTTAAAATACAGTCCGAGACAAAGGTCTGAGTCTCTGAAGTGATTACAACCTATCTGTTCTCTAAGCAAGAGACCCATTCAAAGAAGCCTGAGAGCTAAGTCTACATGCTACACAACTTGGTATGAGACCCATGTGATCTGCTAAGGTCGACAACATCTGCACAGGAGATTGAACACTGATCACAGCGGGATTACACTGGAAACTAAAATGTGACACTGAAACACAGTGACCTAGCACCAAGCTGAAAGAAGCTGTGCATTAATTAGCCAGTAACCTGTATATGTGGTCAAACTGCATAATTAGAAAGAAAGAAAATATGAAGTATTAGAAAAAAAGACACCAAAATGCTGGGAAAAAATTCAAAAATATATGTATTTTACAGTTTTAAAGGGCAAAACGGTGAACAAGTCAAGGGAACACATTAAGGCATGAGATATACTTGATTTTAACTATACGCATGATGGTGAGTGTTTGGAGCTTCAGTTGTGAATGTCATCAAAAAATAAAAATATGCGTTTCAACCAGAGTCTGTATAGGCATGCTGGCATCTCTATGATGTACTGTTGCCTCTGCACTGAGACAACTACACTTCATTATCAGTGTCATCTTAGGAATATGTAAATTAGACATAGGAACAAACAACTCTGATCATTTTGCAGCTCTGGATGGAGGTGGCTCCATAGTTTAGTGGTTTGCTTGCCAAGCAAAAGGTCGCTGGTTCAATTCTAGCCAGAGAGACAAATTCCCATTGTGGTCACATGACGAAAAACATCAAGAGCTTTATCAATTGAAGTCCCACTGAGAATAAACTTCTTAAAAGAAATGGGCAGCCCTGATATTTACTGTTTTAGGTCATGCAAATATGGAGGCCCTCTGGTGGAATCCTCCACTAACACGTGTAGTAGGGAGTCGAGCACATAAAATGTTATATTATCACTGCAAGCGGATGTTTACGTTACTGCGTGGTTAAAAAGCAAGTATCTCTTGCCTGAGGTCAACAGGTTAATGTAAAACATGTCATGTTTTGAAACTGGCAGATACCTTCTCTGTTGTGTTAGCTGGCAGCGCTCTCCTTTACATTTCATTTATGCTTATGTATCGTATGGATCAACTGACCACCAGCAGGAGTGTAACAATAAGCAGCCAATTTTCTCAAGTGACACTTCCAACACAGTCGAAACGAATAAGAAAACAAAATAATAGGATAATAGAATAATAATGTGTTTTTAAAAAAATGTCAAAAAAGCATTATTTTGTGCAATTCGACAATGAATGGAAAATAAGAAGACAACATAAAAAAAGCAGATACTCTGTGGCTGTATGGTCTGTCAGCTTTGAAGCACAGTTAATGTCACAAGACAACAAATACTATGCCAATTATATTAAAACACTGCCCACTAGATATTAAAAGATTGCCCACTATATGCCCACTATAGATTATAGTGAATACTTTGATCGGACTCTTGTAAAATTACTGTCATGTCCTCAGTCGTCCAAGAGCCGTACTGTTATCGATGTTGTTATTCAAACAGAGCGACTGCGCCTCACGCTACTTGCTAAATGACAACAATCTGGCAGAAGTTTGTCACCAGTCGGAAATTAGTCAAAATCTGAGCTAAACATCTCAACGTGCCCGCCTGATTTTAACAGTTAAACAGTTTACATTTGTACTCTTTCGTGGAAAAAAAATATCAAGACAATTGTTCAAGCCTCAGAAAAACAATAAACTGAACACCATTAAGGTCTCCAATAATGGGAACAACAGTCCTTCACTTTCCTGTTGGTTGATCCTCTTCACTTGTCTCTTCACAAGCACAGTTTGGGTTACAACACTGTACAAGACAAGACGTCACAGACAAATATTTTCAGGGACTCAGCGTTGACTTTTCACTTTCAGACAGGAGATCAGTTCTTTACGTGCCTGACAGGCAGGATAGAGTTGTAGCCTTCCAATATCATTGATGATGGATATGGAATAAGCAAGGCTTTGGGCTTGCAATCCTTAAATATCCAGGTCCAGGTCTTATGGTATTCACTCAGTTCATCTTACAGTGATGTGTAGTACCTCCTCTATAGCATTAGTCCAATGATTCTCTGTGCTGCCCAGCTGTATAGCTGCCCTAGCTATATATGTACCCAAGCCCTAGGCGTCAGTTGTGGGCATCTTGGGATGCTATAGGTACAAAAGTAGGATTGGGAGAGAGGAGCAGTGAGGCTGCTGGTACAGGAAGAAGCAGGGTTAGGTCGGGAGAATCGCTCCAGACCACTAGGACTGTTTCAGCCGTTTTCTTGGGGGACCCAGGAAGGGACACTGGGCCGAGGCCAGAGAATGATAGGCCTCCGCAACCAGGTGTGGGTGAGAGATCACCATGGATTTCCATCCTGATGTCTCCATCACATCAGCAGCGTGACTGAGAGAAAAAAAGGGAAATGAAATACAAAGGAAACGGAAAGCAGGAAAAGATGTTAAATTAAGAAACTAAACAGATATCCAAACAAAGTACACAAATGAATCTTTTTTTCAGAGAGAAAGAGTTTGGGATTATAAGACTCCATCTGTGTGGAGAGCAGCTTTGAGACATTACAGATTTGTCATACCAGCTGGTGAGGCTGTTATTTATTTTATATTTTTAAATATTTAACCTTTGAGGTCATCTTTGTGATAAATAACATCACACAAATAAAAAGGCATCATTAAAGTTGCACAAATATACAGGCATGCGATAAAAAGGTTAAGTCATAATGTTTTTTTATATCATATCGTGAAATAATTACTTGATTAATCAGCTAATGAACAGGAAATTATTCAGGAAAGATTATGATCATTTGTTTATTTATGCGAGTCGATTTTTAAACAAAAATGTTAAACATTACCTTTTGTTAAGTTTTAATTGTGAGGATTTGCTGCTTTTCTGGGTCTAATGAACTAAATCTTTTGGTTTTTTGGACTCTTTTATACAATACTATTACACAGTACTCTTAAGATGTACTATAATTCATATATTATAGTATATATAGTATACAGAACACACTATTAACAGAAAGAAGGTTCGTTTTAGAGACCACATGAAAATCTCACTGTGGAAAGCAAAAAAAAGGCACACAAATGATGACTAGTTCCCATTTTTAAAGCATTCCACGTTTAGGTTTCATTATTCACACCTGGTATTGTAATGAGGAGAAATAAAGATGGCTAGCATGTCACTATTTCAGCTGAATTCATTCCATTAACTGTTCATTTGTTTGCTCTTGAAAGATCCTCAGACATTTAAACTAAATGGTTTTTCCTTAGTTGGGGAAAAGGGAGGAAAAAGTTGGGAAGGTTTTCTAATTAAGTGCTGATCAGTTTACTTGTGGTTGAGCTTACACCAGCAGACCCTGTGGCAGTCTTCAACCTCCCGACACCCTCAGGGTGCTGGGATGCACTATCACGCACACCGCTGTGTGGCCTTTAATGACATTTTTCCTGTTTTATTGTGTGTAAATAAACAACCGCATGCGTGTGCGTGGACACGTGTGTTTATGTTTTGGCGCGTCTACTCCTGGCTGTTTGTGTGTGTGTCTGCGTGAATGTGCGGCCCTATGGTTTCCACACAGCAGCTCCAGACCTCCAGCCAACCTCTGACCCTATTCTCTGTGGAGAAAATGAAGCCCTGCTCACAGTAATGGCCAGTACGCTCAAGCTGAGGGCAGCGAAAGGGCACAACGAGAGCAACCGCAGCAGGAGGAGGAGGGGAAGGGATGGACCGATGGAGACGGCAGCAGTGACAAATAAAGAAAAGGGGAGGTGACAAAGAGTAATCAAACGTCACGGGGGGAGATAGAGAGTGACTGGGAGTAGAGCAGTGATGTGAAGCTAAATCAAACTATAGTCTCCAGTCAGTTGTAATTATAAGTTACCAAAAAAATCTACTAAAAAGGCATTTTGTCTGTGCGTCACATTACTCATGTTGTGTTTACATGCTGGTCTAAAAAAAACTCTGTAAGCTTTTCTGTAAACAAAGTGGATTAGGAGAGTTTAGTTGCCTTTCCTCTCTGCTGCATCCCTGGTGAGGACGAATAAATGAGACAGAGGAAGGATAAAGAGGACTCTTATTGTCTCAACTACATGACTGTAAACTGCTTGTAAGGACTGGTGTGGAAAGAGGTTAAGGTGCTTCTGGGGGTAGGATTATTGGTTTCTCCGTGTCGTCCGTTTTCGATATTTGTCCTCTAAATTGATTTTTGTTTTGCTGCTCTTGTTGCTGTCGATTGTGTCTGCAGGAGCTGGGTTGATAACGCTTTGCTGGCCAGGAATCCCCTGTGGCCAATTTTGCCACCACCACAACAACGCTGTCGCAAATTAAACTGTCATAACGCCCATAACCACAATTAATGACTGGGATTAGTGGGAGAAATCTGCATTACTGAACACCTTTAGGCACACACGAGCTCTTAAGCACAAAACAGAGGTGGGAGACGGGGAGAAAAGGGGGGAAAGGAAAGGATAATGGGAGCGAATGGAAAAGAAAGGGAGGGAGACGAAGCCCAGGCAGGAACGAGGAAAGGACATGAAGCTGTAAAGAGAGGACAGAGGAATGAACAAAGGGATGGAAAAAGTGTCTGGCTCTAAGGCACACAGTTTGAACAAACACGGGTAAGGTGATAAGCAATTCAGGTAGCGACTGAGAGAAAGCTTTTTGTTTCAAGTGGGCATTGAAACACTGGATCAATCACCTGTCGGTGGACATAAATAGTAGTCATTGATGCTAATAGGCCCCATCGTACCTAAACAGGCTGCACGCAACACGATTAACAGCAGCAGCTGAGGTTTATTGCTAAATGGACCAATATGATACGGCAGCAAAATCACCTGATCTGGAGATTAAATTAAATTTCCTCGCGAGACAAAAATTGCTCCCACTGAAAATTAATGACATCCCCTGACAAAAAGCCGAACGCAGAAGCGCGCGTGCGTCGGTGAAAAAAATATTTGCATTAGTGTGGAGGTAGTTCTCAAGATGGATGAACTCAGCGCGAGCGTGTAACTCACCAGTTGATGAAGTCCACAGCCTGCGTCTTGAGCTGATCTGCACTGTGCAGGTCGGCCAGGATAAGGATCTCTGCGGCATTCTCCACAGACAGATTCGTGCAAAGAGCGTCCTCACACATCACCTTCAACCTCTCCAGAGCATACTACAAATGACAGAGAGGGAGGATAAACAGCAGGTAAACTAAATTACTTAAACAGCGCTGCCACCGACAACTGTAGCAGCGGTGTGTAATGATACGGTAACACAGAATTACTCCACCGCAGTGGCAAAAAGCATTAAATTGAATAAGAAAAAAATATGGCAAAGAGAAGGGTAAGTGACAGATATGCATACAGAGTTGGAACTGATGATGGAATAGCATTACACGAGAAGCAAAAAATTATTTCCACGGAGTCTGATTACAAAATTGCCAGCTACAATAACCTTCTCTCATATACACACACACACTTCAAGATGACTCGTAGAGGTTTAGCGGAGACTACAGTTTAATGTCGCAGTACTTCCTTTTAATTTAACAAGTTACATTCTCTGTCTATCTACATTCAGTGACATAAAGCAGTCGATTTAAATGATTTGTCATTAAATAAGACGTAAGTAAGCACATGGAAAGATTTAAATAGGGCTACTGGTTCATGAAAATCCCAAAACTACCAGTTTCTATTTATTGTTGAATGCCAAAAAAGACAGGAATTATCTGTCTTGCTCCAAAGACACAAGTTAGGAACTAGTGACGAGTTAACCTCCTAGGACCTGGCGTCCACATTTTGGGTTATTTAGACCAAAATACTCAATTTTGCTCTACAGGGGCCTGATATCCACTTACAAGGACATTATACTGCTACTGTTCTATCGAAATTTTAAATGAATATCCTCATATGTGGCTCTTATTTTTCTTAGAAACAAAAATCAGGTAAAAAAAAAAAAATAAATAAATATCTGGTAATTCTTTGTTTTTACATTCATCAGGTCCCAATGTGCCCAAATATCAAAGAGAAATTAAAAATGCATGCCGTGGAAGAGTTCGGGTCTTAGGAGGTTAAATGTTTTATGGTTGCAAGTGATTTAAACCCTTTGGAAAAATTTCTACAAAGTCTAAGATCATGGGAGCAGTGAAGCTATGCTGAGTCACATGGTTCTTTGAGCCAAATTTGCACATTAAGCTACGACTATTAGATTATTAGATTATTAATATTAGATTATTAGATTTCATAATCACTTAAAATCCCTTAAAAAGAAAAGAATTTGAGCTAGTAACTAGCTCTAATTAGTCTCTGATAAAATGACACATTTACCGACCACTATTTAACAAGCACGGAAAAATAATGCATTAGTGATCTACAATAACCAAGACGAGCAAAACAAGTTCAACCAAGGTGAATATAGATGACTTGGTATAAATACTAAAAAAATACAAAGGTAGACACTATTAAAGCCTTTACACTGCTTGGAACTCCTCTGTGAATAAATTAGTTCATACAAAAAGAATCAAACAAAAATGGTATCACATGCAAACTATGCCAGCTAAAGCTCATATATCATAAGTTTACCACAAGATCCTTCCGGTGCAGATGACTCACTCAAAATGTGATTTTACAGAAACAGACGGGAAACACTGAATATCCGGCGTGAGTACAAGAATAAACAATGAGGAAAATGATTCATTGGAAGTGTGTGCATGTCTTTACCTTGCACAGTTGGGTCGGCTTTATCCTTTGCTATAAAAGTATGTTTGGATGTGTAAGTATGTGTGTTTAGAGGTTGAGGAGCATTTGGTGCTTCCCAGGTGTATTTTTGGGAACATTATCATGCATACCAGCTTGTGTGTAAATGTACATAGTAGCAGGTGCAATGCACACACACACACACACACTCTCTTTGTACCTTGTCAGCTGCAGCCAGCAGGTCATCAGCCATCTTGTCCAGGTTGGGGGCCTTGCCTGTGTAGATGAAGCACATCATCTCTTTGAAGACATCTGGCTCCACGTCATTTATCTCCACACGGTTCTGAACGGGTAGAGAGGACAGGAGAGGCGAATACACGCAGGGTTTAACAGAATAAAAGAAAAGAGAAGAAAAACAAACGCTTTGACAATCCTTCAAAACTATGTATGGCAGCAGTGTCTTTTTTATTTCATGTAAATTTCCCAAAACCCACCTGACTTAAACTCTCTCACCTTGTTTAGTACACACACACACACACACACACACACACACACACACACACACACGGAGTCAGCCATGCAGTGATACAACAAAACATGTTCCAAAATCACAATAGAGAAAGAAAGAAAAAACAACACCCTGAAGAACCTTCTGAGCAGTCAAAACACGTTTCAGCAAAACTACATTCTAGGAAATTTATTTAACTCTTTTCAGCAGATTCAGGAGAATTAATCCTGAGCATTCATTCCTTGACGGTGCCTGCAGCAATCAAAGTAGGCTTTATCGCTCTATGGCACAGTGACGGTAACCTGAACCTTTCCCCTCCACGCTGACGAGAAGAACAAAGCAATAAACCAATTATAACAGTGCTTTATCGTCACCACAGTGACCAGCGGCGTTTTAGCAGGGTCAGACTGGGTGTACCAACAGTTTAGTGCATTTGTGTCAACTCTGACCACTCAACACCAACATAATCATACTGAGAAATAATCGAAGCAGAGTCTAAGAGCTTCTGGTCTGAGCCTGCAGTCTGCCATGGTAGCCTTTTGCAGGAATGCACAAATCACACAAACACATGAAGACGTGAAAAAATTAGTAATTCTAACAGACATGCATAATATCAAAAACACACCTACTGTTTCTAAATTAACCTCAAACTCATCACAATCATTATATTTCTAATTCTTTTCTATTTTTTCTACACTTGACCAATTTCATTCTGCTAATTTCTAACGTGTGTTGGAGCGTTAATCAAATAAAAAAGACATACTACCACCAAACTACCTTGGAAATCACATGAGAAAAAAAAACATAACAGGACTTTCTCGCGTAATGAGAAGCCAGTGCCCAACCAGGTCTCATAAATAGACAACTCCTGTAGTTACAGTGTCTGAAGCTCCCCTCTATTCACAGAGCAGTCCTCTATCAGAGTGCTTCTTTATGAGCTCATTTGTCTCTTTTCTATAGAGTGCTGCAGAGGAGTGTTAACCCACCTATCTGTTTTCCCTGAGTCGTATGGGGACGTGGCCCACAATCTCTCCCTCTTTCTGATGAAGACGCCTACTTAAACAGCAATTAAGATGCATTTCCTGGCTCTGTGCTTTATAATTTCCCCATTTGAGCTCTGCAGGCATCAATATTCCGCTGACATGACGGCTAAATCACCACAGTTGAATCTCACCACCTCCTATCAGATCAACACAACCAACTGTGGCAGAGAGACTCAGTGCATCACACATGTGCAAGCACACACAGACACAAACACCGTTTTGTTTCCATCACGTCAGACCTGAACTTAACCCTATTTACACTAATTTCGTGACCGAGCCTCACTAAACCATGAACTAATTTAATTATTTGTATTATGAGGACTGGAGGGGGAATGGCATCAGAGACATTATATTTATGGGATTTATGGGAGAATTCTGAAACGCTCCCAGAGAGCAAATCAACAACAGAAACAGGAAACAAATGAGCCAATCATGCTGTTACACAGACACACGAGAGGTTCACGACCCTTTCAGTTTTCTGGTGGCAGATGCATCTTTCTGCTCATTATTGTAGCAAGGGTGTAGCTACTTTTTAGCTCCTGTATCCCTAATGTGCATTAGAATGGAAAAAAGCAGAGACACTGATGGTGCCACCACCCTGTCATAAAACTGAGGGGGGGCAAAAACCTTTATAGCTTATTCTGGGACAGGAAATAACTGCAATGATTCATTCCAGGATGGCTGTTGAGTTGCGACACTTGCCTCAAGAGGAACTTGGATTGCATTTACCTAACTTTACATAAATTTGCACATAAATCTTCAATGTTTTTTGCATCTCTTAAAAGTATTATCAAGCTATTCGCATGCAGAACTGTAGCAACAGGAAGCTTGAATCCACACCGTCAACCTGCTAATAACACTAATCAGTCCCAATAGTTCTCAGAACTATTCATACCTCCACAGTACTCACACTTTAGTTCTACATAATTAAATAAGAAGTTATAGGAGAGGCAGGAAGTTATCACAACTAGCATCACCTTTCCATCATCTCCACTGTAAATAGGACGACGTCAGACAGGTTATTTAAAATACACCCTTATGACACCGACTCCTGCCTTATAACTGTCTGCAAACCACTTCCCCTCTTTGGAGCAGTTAATATTCCCACTAGACTCTCTCTACTTTCCTTTAAAGGTCAGTACTGTCAAGACATTTTGCTACTGATCAATGGCACCTATGCATGTGTTAAAGTTCACTAAAGTCAGAACTTGTATAAAAAACAACAAATTGAGCAGATTTACTGTGCCCATTTCATTAAATTAATGAATTTTGATGTGAGGTATGAACATTTTGAGCAGCAGGCAGAAACTGCAGCACAAAAATGGCAAAAAAGTATGTATATTAAAAAGATTAAAAAGAGATATCAAAAGGAAAACCATTTCCCTCATGACATTGCAATTGAGTTCCAGGAACAGAGTGATCATACTGAAAGCAACAGAGACTTCAGTCATTTTGTCTGATACCGTCTTGTTAAGTCTACAAATAACACGCTTTATGCCATCAAAGAAATACCAAAGATTATACAAGTGATAATGATATAATCACTTAAGGATTTTTTCCCATATAGTAGCTGTGATGACACCATATAATAGTCAGCAAGACATGAAGGAACATGTGCAGCCACACTTGTTTAAAGAGGCGAGTGCTTCCTGATGCAACAGAAGGAAAGATTGAAATTTAAACATTTGACTCACCATGCACTGAGGGAGCAGGAGCGACGGAGTCAACTCACCTTCTTACTCTCTTCCATCTCGTGCTCAAACATGGCACTGAACACCGGCGAGCGAGCTGGGACAGAGAGAAACAAAAAGGCCAAGACAGAGAAAAGAGCGCTTGTTATTGAGTGTAATGTTGATACACGGCGAGGTCTCTGATATCCGTTAACAGCTTGCCACAGGGCCGGAGGAGAGCAGGGACATGACTGACAGCAGTGACAGCAGTAGAGGCATCATGTGGAAAAAGTCAGCTCCTTTCTGCTGACAGACTCTTGACAGCCTTTCTCGTTTGTTTAGCCAGTATTCAACGTTGATGGGCCGACTTGAGTGTTGCTTATCTCATATATTATGCCCTAATAAAGATCTGTTTTCCTCTTTTAGTTGCACTTTCACTCGCTACCACTCAACTGCTATTTCTTTTTTTTTCCTTTCCTAGATATGGTTTTTCACACGGCTTTTGCATCACAGCACAGTCTACAAATCCTCTCAAGGAAAGTTCAGACTATTCTTCCATTTATAGAAAGTGATAAGCCATGAGAGAGAAACAATGTAAAAGAGCTGCTGGTTATTTGCCAAGTCACAACAAGAAACAAAGAGGGTTTGCAATGAAAAATATATTCTTATAATCCAAGTTCACACAGATTTCATATTGTATATTTTGCAAAAGACATTTCTGCACATTTTGACAATCTCCAAAATAACAAAGATAAAGTCTAGTAGGAAAAAAAGAAGCAAAAGCAATGACCCAATGGCCCTAAAATGGACATATTAATGTATTTAATGTTTTACGTATTTAGTGAAAGCTTAAGCGCAGTGTTTTTCACTGTTGTTATCCCAGACGTGACCCCAGCTGGAGAGGTCATGCTTAATCTCCAGTACAGGCAGAACATGACGGCCCAAACAGAGCTCTTTAAAATTTCAAATTACTGCTGTCTAATAATTCTGCAGGCTTAAAATAATCACCGCATCTTGTCCCTGTAGTTCCGCTTAAGGCAACAACACTGTATTTTCTCTCTTGTCGTCCCAGTGGTGACAGTGGTTAGTTCTGGCACAGAATAAAGCACAGCCTCACAGATGGAGCTTAGCCTCTACTTGATTTCCAGCTACTGTTATTACTAGTAGAGTAAGAATGTGTTCCTACAAAGGTGGATCTTGGCCTTTTACTCAGAGTCGCATATATACTATAGCCACGCTTTTCTGACATGGTTCGCTTAGTTTGATTATGCACTGAAAGGGTAACAGTTCACATTAATATTCAGAAGTGAATGCCTTATTAGCTAGTCATTAAAATCTAACAAATGTTGTAACACATTATTAAGTATGTGTCAAAGTCAGTGATATAATAATTAATTCAGACACTTAATAATGAGTTATTAACGCAGAGCTATCTAACCATTTAATTACTCATTGGGTTACACGGTGTCATCCATTAAAACTGCCAAAGCCGCAAATAGCTATAATACTGTATAACTGAATAAGCATTAACAATGGACACTGAGGCTATGAGGTCAGAAACTCACTCGCTACAGGAGAATCTCAAATCCACTAAATAAAAATGGCTAACAGTAAGTCCCTTAACACCTCACTAAACCATGAGCTAATTTAATTATTTGTATTATGAGGACTGGAGGGGGAATGGCATCAGAGACATTATATTTATGGGATTTATGGGAGAATTCTGAAACGCTCCCAGAGAGCAAATCAACAACAGAAACAGGAAACAAATGAGCCAATCATGCTGTTACACTGACACACGAGAGGTTCACGACCCTTTCAGTTTTCTGGTGGCAGATGCATCTTTCTGCTCATTATTGTAGCAAGGGTGTAGCTACTTTTTAGCTCC